CCCCCCCACACACACACACTCCCAGCTAAAAAAATTATTATTGCTCCCTTAAACACTTTTAAGTTAAATTGGCGCCCTTTTAAAATGCATACAGCTTTGTCCAATAATAACCGAACCTTATCCCTGGACTAAAAGTTAATGAGTTTTCTTTTATACTTTATATAATTTGACTATTACATGTAGATGTATACAGAAAACCCCCACATGGCAGCGGCATCCATGATTCAATCCCTAAACAAGGACAAAGAAAAAGTTCAAGCTTGTATTGACATTCTATGCAAGTATGCTATATGCCAATTTGTCTAAATTGCTTACTATTTAATAGATGTGTGAAACTAGAAACTTTTTCCCCCTAGTGTATCTTTCTCCAAACCTCTCTGATTAGCCATCAGAGTTTGAGGGGGAAAAATGGGGTCAAGTTGGCAATTCAACGTACATTGTTTAAATATTTTAGGTGACGAAATTAATATGCCATCTTGGAAATATGTCCCTCAAAAGAAGCCCTAAATGCACTACAATACCAAACAATCCACTTTTCCTCAACCTCTGATTGGAATGACTAAATATATCTATAACACTGTTAACACTGTTATAGTTATTTGTGTTACAAAATGAATGTTTTCGCATGCTTCCTTCTTATTCACTTATTGTATTTAACACACCCACACAGCCCCAAATAGTACCAACCTCTCTAATTTGGCCTTACTTTATTTAAATTTTCTTTTTTATTTTCATCGTAATATTTTTATTTTTTATTTTTCAATTTATATTTTCTTAATTTCAAGATACATTGACAATATCTGTAACAATCCTGGTGAAGAGAAGTACAGGAAAATCAAACAGAGTAACAGAATATTCAAGGTAAAGTCTCTCCCAGTGCCAGCACTACCCAAATTGGATTAGTATTATATTACACAAAATTTGACTTAATACTCCAGTTTCGAGTTCTCTTTTGCTCAGCCTTGGACTCAGTTGTGTGTTAAAACATTCAGCTATTCAACCAAAACCCTTGGTATTTTAATTACAACTAGTATTGTTCCATAGTGCATACATTCCTTTTATACAATGGACCTTAATTAATGAAAAAAAGAACACAGTCATTTAGACACAATTGAGGCTAAGACTGAGCAAGAAGGCAAACTTGAGATTGGATTATTGAAATGTACTTATTTATTATGACTTTATTTAATATTTTGATAATTCTCTTTATTTTTCAGGAGCGTGTTTCTACGATTACTGGTGCTATAGAATTCATACTGGCATGTGGGTTTGAAGATATGATGATCAAGCAAGAAGGTAAGTAGTAATTAAAAGAGAATCAAGAAATCTTAGCCCTCCTACAACAAAAATATAAATAAACTCATAAATTGTGTAATCGATCTTCCCCTTATTCGAGTTTTATATTGATATTGCCACCAGTGGATAAAAAAATGATACTCAATGGAATACAAACAATGGAATTATTTGACTTGAGAATCCATTCCATGGATTTACATTCCACTTCCATGGAATAGTTCATTTCTTGTTTGTAATATATATTTTTTCTTGTAGATAAATTAGAGAGTTTTTTCGTGCTTCCAAGTGAAAAGGCCGAGGATCAAGAAACTCTACAAACGTACAAAGCAGTTCTCCTATCGACTGAACCACTTAAGCCTACACTGGACAGAAATCTTAAAGTATTTCGACCATCTTCGGGTACAATGCAATTCGAACTCCCTGAAGAATTCTTTTCTCTTTCGTCTGAGGAAATCAAGAGAGAATATAATTCCAAGTGAGTGTTTAATTAAATCTGAAGAAAAATATTGACCGTTGGATTTATTTACTTGAAATGTTGTTGAAAATGATGATGATGTGAGGATGATGATGGTGGTGAATGGTTAAGATGATGATGATGATAAAGAAGATGATGGTTATGTGATGGGGATTGGCGATTGTTATGATGATGATGGTGATAATGTTGATGAAGATGATGATTGTGATGGTGATGATGATCTTGATGATGATGATGATTATGATAAAGATGATAAAGTTGATGATGGTTATGTGATGGTGAATGATGAAGATGATGATGGTTATGTGATGAGGAATGGTGATTGTTATGAGATGATGGGGTTGATGAAGATGAAACGGTGATGATTATGATGATAATAAAGATAGTGGTGGTGATAATGATAATGATGATGATGGTGGTGGTAGTGATGATGATGTTAATGTCAAGTGTTGTTTTATAGGTTGGATTCATAATTCCAAACTAAATGTTTCTTCGACCAAAAAGAATTTATCTCCGAGCTTTCGGGCATTAGCGCCTACATCTTCGCTTCTCGACTACCGTATATTTTCTCCCAATTAGCCGCCAATATTAACCATTCCTCATAGTTCTACATTTAAATATAATCACCTGTGTCTAACAATTTCTCTTCAGATTAGAAGAGATTGACAAGAAATGCCAACTGAGAACAAAAGCCATGAGAGAAGCAGACAAGAAACCAAGCAAAACATACCGATTTACTTTAATTCGAATAAGGTTTCCTGACGGAGTTATACTACAAGGTAGGAACACACTTATAACTCGTTACAGTAGTTTTCATATAACTGCCACCTCACGGCACGAGACACGGTCGTGACACGGCAAGGCATACTTTCTATCCAATCAAATACCCGGAGCATAGCATAAACACGTCGCGAACACGGTCACGCCCAGGTCACGCCACTGCCAGACCAATCACTTTGCGCGAGTTAAAGATCAGCCAATGAAAGTTCTACAAAACATTACGGTCACAGCACCCTTAAGACGCTGAGGTTTTCACGGTCAGAAAACTACTTTTTGAGCAAATACACGCCTCTTCAAGTCGTTCTTAATTTACAAGGGTAGCACTTAATAGCCAAGGTGGCTTAGAAAACTGGTGTCCTCTCTAGACGATCGAATAGAAATAGCTTCCTCTACAGTTCCCATCCCCATCTTGCAATGATAGAGACATATGAATAATTGTCCAAGGTGTTAATAAAGGTCTCTATCATTGCAAGCTCGCCATTCGTCTCGCTCGAACTGTGAAGGGTGCTACAGACCGTTTTCTCGAGGTTTGGCGCACATCACACTTTACGGGCCAAAAAACTAGAAAACGCAAATTCAGTAAAATTGAGAAGCCAGTTTCATATTTAAAGAGGAGAATAATCGATTTTATGAATTCTTATCGAAAAATTTGATAGAAATGTATGATAATTCTCGTGTTCTGGTATCATGGCTCGTCAAGGTCCTTAAATTTGGATGCGCACGCAACCTTGAGAAAACGTTCTATTGAGAAATTGAATTCTACGGAAGGAGTAAAAATAGAAGATTCTGAAGAAAACCTTCGGAGTCCAGGATAGAACCAACAAGTAACTCTACTTGAATATAGGATGGTGGGTCTAGGAATCGAACTCATATCCGCAGTACTCATTGCTTCGGTGTTTCGAGAGTTCTCTGCTGTTCAGGCTTAGCCTCGCTTTTTTGTGTAAAATATTCACTTGTTATAGTGAAGGTCCGTCGAGTTTCAAAGTGTTTGTATCGTTGAAGCTGTGCAATCTTTACTTTACTGGTGGTATTTGTGAATATTTAGAAACTGATGCGAGGTTAACCCTGAGTAAATGAATCTGTAATCAAGGAACACAGTGGTATTTTACGAATTCATAGATGGTATTAGTTAATATCTACTTTTATGGCAGGTACTTTCTACAGCCGAGAAAAGCTTCGGGACTTGTTCGGATTTATTCGTCAATCACTCGAGTCTGATTGGCAGCCGTTTGTACTGAGTGACCCAACTGGGCAGCTCAAAGAAGAGGAAGCTACTCTTAACGAGTTGGGCTTGGTAAGTTTTCTTCTAGTCACTAGGGGTGCTTACCATTTCCCCGGAAAAACCGGAAATTCCGGTTGGAAAACAAATGGTATGTGTCATTTCGATCGTAAAGTTCCGGAAAACTCACTCTTCCGATTGAAGAAATCTTATTTTCCCGCTCTTTTCGGTTCTTCCAGTAGACGCGTGTACATTTTTCAAAAGTCAAAGTTTCCCGCTCTTTTCTTACCATGAGCTAATGAATTTCCAACCGGATGGATTGGTAAGCACCCTAGACTCATATATCTAACGAAAGGTACGGTTTTTTTATTATGGAGAGGGTAGCGCTTGGACTTCAGAGTTTAGTATCATCCTTTTAATTTTGACGAAAACTGTTTCGTTGTTACTTACAGCCATTCTCAATAACACACGCCGCTCTAGCGACTGTTTCTGTCGCGACGAAGAAGCTTTGGGTGGACGTCAATCAAGGCGTTTCCATTACATTCTATAGGCACGTGCCTTTATAGCTTTGTGTTTTCCGACAATGTTATGGAAACGCCTTGTGATTGACGTCCACCAAAACCTTCTTCGTCGCGGCAGAAACGATCGCTAGAAGAAACGTGTGATTGAGAATGGCTGTAAAGGCGGTTCATGAATGGCTTACTGAGTGAAAGGTGGAGGACTACGAATCCCTCAACCCTACAATCTCCCCAATAAAAAACGTAACTTTCTTTAGCTTAAGAATGCCTAGAGTAGAATTTCTAGGATCGTGGAACGTCACAGTAATGGTGCAGAATTGATGACATCTTTTGAACCAATCATAGCGCGCGAAATCATTGCTTATCCAATCAAATACCTTGAACCAATGATAGCATACGGTAGATCACTGGTCATCCAATCAAATACTTTGAACCAATGACCTGTATACGATAGACCTGGCCATCCAATGCAATACGTTGAACCACTGTCATCCAATAAAAAATGCTCCGAAAGTGGCTCCGAAAGTGTCACGTCCATGCAGTTAGTTTTTCACAGTCATAAAAATTTCGCTCTATTTGAGCTTTTTCTTAGCTTTTATCTTTAGAAACCTCTCCATTGCCTACACTTTGATTGGGTGGGAAGGATCTAGAATAGTCTATAAAAAGGCCTCTAAAAAGTCTGAAAACGTACACAGGGTACTACTCTACCCGCAAGTTTAAGAGAAATAAGGTTTCCATTTTTTTTTTTTTTTCAAGGTTCCTGCAGCAGTTGTTAACTTCGCTTGGGACGCAACCATCATGGCTGACATCGTGGCTGCTAGCGGCTCTGTGCAGCAAGGCAACTACTTGAAACCAGAAGTAATGGCTTTAATTCAAGAGCTTAGTTAGACATTATCAAGAAAGCTGTCATTATGGTATATGTTAATGGTCTTATCGTTCCAGTTGTCTTGATGCCGGAGGCAACCGAGATGCACTGGAGCGAGAGAGATCAAGATCGCAAGGTCGCGCTTAGTGTGTGATAGTATCCCATCAGTAAAGGTTATTTTTGACTGCGAGACAGTTGTGTGATCTGCCACGTAGAGGTTTTGTGAGTGCATGGGAGACATGTTTTATACGCTTCAAGGGAGTAACAAGGTACGACACGTTGTTAGTATATGTAATAGAACTCCATGCTGTCCAATTAAGAAATAATTGGACGAGGAAAATTCTGAGGACTGACAAAATTGGTTGAGGCCGTAGGCCGAGTCCTATTTGGCAGTCAGAGGAATATTTCAAGTCTAATTATTTCTTGATTGGACAGCATGGAGTGCCATTACCTATTAATTATATAGCTGCCTAATTAATCCCATATCAACAAGACCTGTGCAATTAAGAAAATAATTAGACAGTTACCTATATGGGATTAATGAGAAGCTGTATAATTAATAATGTTATCATATTCGCCACCATCACATCATCGACCTCTTCTGAGATAGCGAACATGGTGCATTGTGGTCGAGCTTTGGTACAAACATCTTTTGGTCATCATGCCTTATATGGTGTTGATTAATAGATATCCAAGCTAGACCACAATGCATAGTGTTTATTGAACTCAGAATAGGCCTATAGAATCATCATCATCATGGTTAGTTAGATTGTTATCATCATCATCATACATCATTATCACTATCATCATCATCATCGTCATCATCTTCATTCATCAGCATCATCTTCATTCATCATCATCATAACTATTATCACCATCATCTTCATCATCATCATCATCATCACCATCATCGTCATCATCATCACCATCATCACATTACCATCATCATCATCTTCACCATTGTCTTTTCAAAGTTATTGTGGCTTAAAGTATAATTATTAAAATCTACAAAGAAATGGGGCTCATCAGGCTTGCTCTTAAAACTATGAATTAAATTTCCAATTATAAATACCAGATAAGGAATAAAGAAAGATATTCAAAATATTCAAAAGCTCGGAAAATAATAAATACATGTACTGTAAATGAAACAACAACTGAATATTCAATGACACCTTACAGTGCAATGACTATAACCTGGGTCACTTAGACAGCGAAAACCAATCAGATTGTAGAATAAAAACAACACATTCCGACTAAGTTTGGGTAGTGGAGCCAACCAGAAATCAGCAGAAAACAATAACCTTTCGACGTATCCACAAGAAAATGACGACGGCTGTCTAGTTGTTTACACGGAACAACAGGGTCGAATTAGAATTCTCGTACAGCCTAGGTTTCAGTTGCCCCGGTTACAGTAGTTGCACTGTAAAAGAAAGATATGATAAATGAATGAGTAATTCACTGGAACACGTAAATATCAGTCTACATAATATACAGGCTTACTCTGAGTAACAGAGATTTCAATTCTTGAAAACTGATGTCTCTAAATAAGTGAATGAAACGATGAAAACAAAAGAGAGAGGAAAAAAGAAGGAAGGAAGGAATAAACGAAATCCAAGGCTTTATTAATTATACGTCAAAACTAGTGTGGTTCACAAAAGCAGCAATAAAAAAACAGCAATATTTTACTCATGTTTTACGGCTGTTACATTGGTGGTAAGGAAAACCAGATAACGTTATTGTAAATTCGTTTTTCGTCATGTACAGCATTTAGTATCTCAAGTTACAACAACGGTTACAAGCACGGTAACTAACTGATTCGAAGTATTAAAGTTAAAAACATTAGGGCCCAGTTGTACGAAGCTTGGATAGCGCTATCCAACGGATAAATCTTATCCAGTGGATAACATTGGAAAAAATTGCCCATACATTTGGAATATTTGCTCTTTTCGGTATTTTTCCTCTCTTTCCAAAGCAAAAGGTTGTTCTTAAAAGTAAAGTTATATAGCACAAGTAAACTGCGTGACAAAACATCCTAAATGACCCGTATAAATCTGAGCTTATAAATCAGCAAAAATACGGTTCTAAATTTTAATAAATTCCTATGAATTATATACCCATGTTCAGGAAAGCCCGGGGTTTTCAAATCCACTTCTGCTTTTTTGACAGGAGAGACGATTTTCTAGCTTGACCCCGGTTATGTCATGCATTTTCTCTTGTAAAATACAACCAAAAGCGTACATTCAACTCAAAAAGTACGGTGGTTTTTTTCAATAGAATTCAATCTAAACCATACCATACAGTCCGTGAATAGTTGAATTAACTGAATCAACTTCTGTTTTTTGCCTAGATAGTCATTATTTTGAGAAAAGATCCAAAAACAGACATACAGGCTTGTAGCTTCTTCCAAAAATTGTACATCCCCCCATTTTTCTGATAAAAATTTGCCCATCTCCCCTTTTTCCTACCAAAATTTTCCCGATCCCCCTCGATTTCACCTGCTCCCCCCTCAGCCATACATTATGAACGCAGCCTAATCACAGTTAACTCCCAGTTCGAATTGGAATTTGTAGCGTGTTAAATTTTGCGGAAGGAGGAAGAGCCCTTGGCCTGGAGAAAAGTTCCGTTCTGATTGGAGGGAGAGATCTAACAAATTCTACTCATGTGTTGCCAAGTACAGGAATCGAAGCCAAGATTTCCTGGGTGAAAGGCAAGTAAATCATGGCTACACCATTCTTAACTTGATTCCCAACTATTCAATTCAAGTAGAATGTTCTCATATTGCTTACTATCAATCACGTGACTTTTTTGGACTTGACCGGGGGCAAACATGCGGTTGACTGGGGGGCAACTAGCGGATGCTAAGTCAAAACATCGAAACATATCAAAATAAGTCCTCAAACTATTGTATTTGACTATTTTCACGACATCAAACCAGAAAACAAGAGATCAAAACAATCTTCAGGATTCTACAAGCCATCAAAAAAGAGCTATTACCGGAAGTGATGTCTATTGTACCGTTCAAACCAAACTGCGACCAACAGCAAAATTATAATTTGGGCTACCTGTGGTTAACGAGGAGGCTAGGCTTGTATCTTTCTTCTCTACGTCACAGTAGGGTCACCAAAGAACATCACAAAAAATCCTTCTTGATTCAAAATTACCTCGCAATAATCATGAACTACCGTATATTACCTTCAGTATTATGAACTAACTAATACTGCTCGAGGATTTACCTGAACTGTGGACAATGTGCAGTCGGAGGAATAAGCCAGTTTTCCAAGCCTTTGTATTCCTTGGTCTTGTGGGTTCTCTAGGATATTTCTTATATTTGTACAACACATTAACCGTCAAACTAGATCGATATGAAAGACAAATAAATAGATACGTTAAGCATCAAAAATCTCTATCATCACAGCTCCAAGGTGAGTACAATTTTTCCTCAGTTTTGTAATTTTAAGCGTTTAAAAGTTTCTAAGATCTGGGATACCTTAGTGTAAATATAAACAAATACAATACATTTTTGTAATAAAAAAAAGTTAAAAGATTTTATTTTTTAGTGGCAAAGTTATCTTTTTTGATAGCAATATTAGTAAAAAAAATTAAAACTATAATCCCATACGTAGAAAAAAGGCCTAAAATCTGGTATATACCTTTAAATATATCTGGGATACCTTACAAGTGTAAATAAACAAGAAAAGTTGCGCGATATTATTTTTTATGGGTAATAAGATTCTTTGTCTTAAGAGCAAGGATAGGTGATAATCTTTAAGAAATATCATAGCTTCAATGTAAATATCTACGACTTCAATGCAGTATTTTTTTAGGATTCCAATTTTAATCATTTTGTGCCACGTTGTTTACGCTTGAAATTGCTACTTTCAATTTCAAACGAACTCAGTCAAAACTTTCGAGTAATAATAACAAGATCCTCAAAAAGATATATAATCTACAATTTGAGATTTAATAGGAATAAAATGAGTGTTTATTTTGGTTCAAACTGACAATTAGCATTTAGATTGATAACTAGTTGTGTTTAATTTTTTTTAGTTAAATTGGTAGGATACGATATGTTGATTAATAATAGATTTATCAATGTCGGTGTTAAAAGCTGGTCCCTTTGTGAGGGCTGTTGAGTTGTCGAAAACCATTTAATGACTTAATTTGACGGAGGCCCCTATTTTGAATGCAACACAGCTTCAGTGTAAATAATTTTCTTCATTAACTTTCTGAATTCTGTGTTGGGTAAAGCCGGTTTAAAGTTTATTAACATGGAAGTCCCTCACACGTCCTAGTATTTATTAATCTATAGTATTGATAATAATATTGAAATGATAATAATAATTATTATTATACAGCTTCTTATTAATTCCATATAGAGTAACTGTCCAATTATTTTCTTAATTGGACAGGTCTTGTTGATATGGGATTAATTAGGCAGCTATATAATTAATAGGTAATGGGATTCCATGCTCCCCAATCAAGAAATAATTAGACTCAAAACATTCCTCTGACTGCCAAATAGGACTCAGGCTTTGGCCTCATCCAATTTTGTCAGTCCTCGGAATTTTCCTCATCAAATTATTTCTTAATTGGACAGCATGGAGTCCTATTACACATACTAATAATAATAATAATAATAATAATAATAATAATAGTAATAATACTTTTTGATTATTTCTAGTTGTTTATGAACACAGAGCAAGGCTAGAGAAGTCATTTGAAAAGGAAAAAGTTGATCACAAGAAAACTAAAGAAGGTAAATCTATATTATTGACTGTCCAGGAGGTTGGAATAGGGAAATGCAGAAAAAGCTGGCACGACCGGCTTCAAAAAGAGGGGTTCCTATTTTATTCTGACTACTGAGCATAAAGGATATGATTGGCTTCAAAAGATTCTCACAAAAGAGGGGTTCCATTGCACCATCACTAGATCTGCTACCTGTGTTGCATTATCAAAATTCCTTTTTTCAATTTAATTTTAGGTTCTTTTTTTTATCAGAACTTGAAGACTCCAAAAGAAGTTTCTATGTAAACATCACAAGAACCAGGGTAAGAAAACAATTACGTCTGGCATCTGTATTGAACCTATGTCAAAAGGTTTCTGAGCATCGTGAAGACCTTTCCTTGATTTTCTTGAATGACCATAAAATGATGGCTCCAAAGTTAAGGTTGAACTTGGTACATTAAACACATTAAATGTTTCAACACATCAAGTCCAACCTTGATTTAGAGCCGACTATTGCATGTTTATTTGGTCACTAATTAAAAGCAAATTCGGGAAAGTTCTATTAGATTTAGAGTACTATCTATCGATAATCTGTTTAATATTGGATATGTAAAATCACCTTAACTTATTTAAGGTAATTATACCGGTCATCGGAGGGATGTAAACAGGGGCAGCGGAACCAGGGAGAACCGTGCTCCCCTACAAAATTTTTTTTGGGGGGGGGGCCTGGCCCCCTCACAAAATATTGGTTCTCAGTCATAGTTTTACACCGCATGCATCTGCAATCAAACAAAACAGCAGTCGTTATCACATAGCGTTAAATATAATATTTCAGTGCCCCCCCCCCCCCCAAACATTTTCAGCTTAATCCACTGCCCCTAGTAAAAGAACCACCAAGGACATAGAATAACCCTGGCAGTAACCACCTTTAGTGCCTATACACTTCATACCAACATCATACTCCCATGCTTGTAAGTTGCATAAAAAAGTAAATTATTTGAAAAAAAAAATCTCGAATTTGTAAAGTGGATTTAAGAAAAAGCAAGCTGATATTAGACACATTATAAAGCACCTTAAAGTTTGATAGAAAAGGCAATATATACATCATAATTAAACCATTATCATTATTATCATAGCTTGCATATAAATTAAGAAATTGCACTTAACATTGCATGATCATCTGCGTGCACTGTATTCATACTATAATAATGAAATGATAATTGTAATCATCTTGATGATTACATGTATAGCACAACTCTTTGTTATTATCACCATCCATTCAAATATTATCTTTGCAGCATGAAACACTTAACAGATTCAACTCATTAGAGACACAGCACAGAATGGTTAAGGTATGATCACACAGCTCATGTGTAAACACTTTATGTGAAGCAATAGACAGGGTTCCCAGGGGTCAGGGAAAAGTCAGGGAAAAACACAGCCAGGGAAAAGTCAAGGAATTTTTTATTTAGTCAAGGAAATTGTGATTTTCATCTAAAGTCAGGGAAAATTCAGGGAATTTTGTTTAAAGTTAACCATGAGCATCTGTGTGGTGTTCTAATCATGTTTAAACACTTCATATGAAGCAATAGAGCACTTGATAATTTGATATGAAGATGAAAAGATGCATTTGTGGCATTTAAATCATGTTTAAACACTTTATGTGAAGCAATAGAGCACTTTCTCATTTAATGTGAAGATGAAAAGATGCATTGTGGTGTTCAAATCATTTTTAAACACTTCATGCATGTGAAGCAATAGAGCACTTGTCTCATTTGATGTGAAGATGAAAAGAATAAATCTAATGCATTGTGGTGTTCAAATCATTTTTAAACACTTCATGTGAAGCTATAGAGCACTTGCTCATTTGACATGAAGATGAAAAGATGCACTGTGGTGTTCAAATCATTTTTAAACACTTCATATGAACCAATTAACAAATCGCACATAGATTTCCATTGTCTGTCCTCTTATTGATCATAGATGACGTCTTAAAATGTTCAAAACTAAAGTGGAACCACGAGCGCAGGGAGTGGTTTCACTGTAAAGTTTTGAACATTTTAAGACGTCATCTATGATCAATAAGAGGACAGACAATGGAAACCTATGTGCGATCTGTTGTTTTACAACAAACTGCGAAATGTTTACAAAATAAAATAAGCGAAAAGTTTTTCAAAAATTTGTCATTCAAGGAAAGCAAGGCGATAGACCAAACAGCTCCGATTATTGTGAGCTTTTGAATATTTTCGCTAAGATAGTTAGTTTTCATGATCATTAGAGGACAGAGTAC